CTTAACACAAAAATGAGTTATGTGAATTGAGAAGTAAGAGTACTATTCATTTGATTGATCATTTCTGTGCTTATCAAAATAAAGATAACATTTTTCCTAAAAGTATTTTTATAAAAAAACTAATATATTTTACTCATATCAAATACTTCCAAGTACATGAAAATGACAAGTTATTGTTGCTTATTGATTTTTTTTTATTTTTTACTTCTTCTTACAAATTGAGTGGGCCCTCTCATTCAATATACTATTTTTATTTTTCTGTTTATTTAGTTCACAATTCCAAATTATTATAATTAATAATGATATTAAAATAGGTTGATCGATGTTTTAAATTATGATTCGTAGAGATAATTTGGTAAAGTGCAAAAAGCGACAGTCTAGATCTAAAAAAAATGTGTGAAGCATGATGAAGCATGTCCTTGTATAAGGAGGGATATCGATCATGATAAATTAAGACATATGAATATCTTTTTCGAGATCAATAAATTTGTTCATTTTAATGAATATATAATTATTGTGTATCAATCATTCCTATTTAATTAAAAGAAAAAGTGCCAAATAGATTTATAGATTAAGTGATTAGTGAATGCTTCTACATATAAGAAATTAGTAGTGGACTTTAGGTTGAATTTTGTTTTAGGCATAATACATAAATATGCCCTTTAACTTGGCTTCAAATCACATTTGTGTCATTCAATTTTAGGTGTGCATAAGTAGACCCTTAAATTTGTATAAAGTTGAACAAATAGATACACATGTCTTACATGTCATTTTTTGTTTTACGTGGTGTCCTACGTGTATTGTGTCATGTAGGACTCATGTGTTTATTTATTTAAAAGTTAGATAGTTAAAGTGTCTGTTTGTGTATTATGAAAGTTGGAGGTCAAAGTTAAAATTTAAAACCAAATTTAGGATCCAATATATGTATTATGTCTTTGTTTTAATTGTAACAACAAAATAGTATGAAAAATTGAATGTTCAATACCAATATGTATTGCTTCTTCTAATCTCTTCAAGCATAACAATAAATGTGTAAAGACAGACCTAATATATTAATATCGTCATGTTCTTCCCATATAAATAAATAAAATAAAATATATCATAAAGTCAATTATAACTTGTGCCCAATATATTAATTAGGCATGCCTTTAATATAACATAATATGTCACTTTTAATTAGGCCTTTGTCTTTACTTTTTGTTACAACTTGCAATTCATTACTTTTGTGTAAAAGACATTTACATATAAATATCCTCTAAAATATTGTCCTTGATTTTTATTTATAGGTTTATTTAGAATACATATATCAAGTTCGATTTACAAAAATATAACCCCTTTATCCATCTAAAAGTTAATAATTCCCTCCTAATTAAAATCATCGAAACACTATTTTTCCTTCCTAATTAGGTATTTCCTTATTATCTACCCACTTTAATATCTACTTAATAACAATTTTAGAAAATTTTAATTAGACATCAATAACCATAAAGGTCATGGAATCACTTAAATATGATTGATGACTTGTTGACCAAGAGCGTAGATATTTATTTTCACTTTTATTGAATACTCCTTCTGTCCAACGGTCCGCTATAGTAATTTCAATACTCGTTCAATTTATAAAATTAATGAATAATTTTATGCTTAGTTTCTAATTTGTCTTTATACTAATTATAGTGACTTTTTTGTTATATTTTTTTAAAATATTGTATTTAAAAAATAATTCTTCTTTTTATAATTTCTTAAAAATTGTATCAAGTCAATAAAATATTTACCTGATATAGTGTACTCATCTTTATTGCCATAATAAATACAACATTGACTCTTTGTCCACTAGCACTCAATACTCATAACATATCACGCACTTTCATCACTTATCTTTTCACACGTTTATTTGAATGAATTTATAACTTATAATTTCTAACATTAAAAGTTACAAATTATAATTTATTTTTATATTTTAACTTTAAACAAGTGTTAGAAGCACTTTTAATTTTTTACTCAAGCTATTTTAATCAATAAATATCTAAAATAAATTAATTTAAATAAGGTCTATGTCACATATTTATTTTTATATGTACTTATAGCGATACAATATGTGGTTAGTTTGATACAAATGAAAATATATTTTTTTAAATTTTTCATGATCAATTAGTTAATATTTTTTTTAAAGAAATCATAATATGGAAAAAATCTTTAATTGAGTTAGGTAAAATAAATTTTGATAAGTGAAATACGAATTAACTTCTCTTAGCCCCATCCCTACACAACCACCCATTCCGTATGAAAATTTTTATTTCGTATGAGGTACATCAAATCATATTGTATGAGGCATTATTTAATTAATAAATGGGATGAGACCCATCTACCAATTGACAAGTGAGATTTATTAAGTTTTTTTGACATTTTTTTTTGTTTTTCACTTATTTCAATATGTTTTTAGTTTTATTTGTTTAAAATATTTTCTTAATCAATCTAATTAGTTTACGTATTTTAATTTTTAATTTTTTGTTTTACACTTATTTCAATATATTTTTTATTTTTATTTTTTAACACGTTTTTTCTTAACTAGTCTAATTAGTTTATGTTCTTTTAGTTTTGCACTTATTTCAATATATTCTTTT